TGTGGTCCTCGGATCTTGCCCGCCCCGTGTTGCAGGCCAGTGATCTGAAAGCTGCTCTGTGCTCAGAGGTTGAAGGACAAGGTGGACCTGTTAGAATGGCCGGTGGTGAGATTTTTGACCTTGGGGCAGACAGAGAGGGTCCACCTTTGGATAGCAGTGCCTCTGGGTCCATGGGGGCTGGCCAGCCTCTACTACCTTCTGGAGTCTCAGTGTTTTTCTCTCTTGCCCCTCACACTCCAGAACATTCTGTGGAGGAGAGGAAGGAGGGGCTGGTCCCCCTGGTTGGGGGATACCGCTTCAGGACATGCCTTGCCCTCCCTGGTCCTGGAGACCTGCTCCTCCCCATCCTTCTAAAACAACCCAAAGACCCGTCTGGTTCACTGTCCCTGTCCCTCAGCCACAACATCCAAGGACAGGTTTATCTTGCCCTGGCCCCATGTCCACTGTGGCCTTATAGCCTATGAGCATCAGTGGCCACTAGGAGCTGAAAAGGTCGAGGAAACATACCCCCCACCCCCAGAGCCCGGGAGCAGCCAGCCTGGGGATGCCTTGACTTTGGACCTCTGGGACTGACCTCAGAAACTGACCTCAAGGAAAAAAACATCTTTTTGTGGAAATGTCCCTTGTGTCTGTCAGCAGGGGCAGATGGACACTCAGAGCAGAGGTCAAAGCAAAGACAAGCTCTTGGTTCCAGCAAGGTCACAGGGACCTTGGTGGAGAAGAAGGACACAGAACTGCGTGGACCAGGCCTCATCTGGGGGGGGGGACGGGCAGTGGGGACTGACAACCATGTGCAGATGGATACCACGCGTCTGTGTGTGGTTATCTGTGAGAGGGAGGGGTGGAGGGTGGGGCCGCACCGGGGCGCCTCTGCCTGTGCCTCTCTGTGAATTAGCCTCAGCCGACTCTGAGACCCCGTGCTGACCTAATGGCCTCACGAAGCTCTCCAGCAGCTGTGCTCTCAGTGGTGGCACTCTGCTGGCAGTGTGACTTCAAGGCCATGTGTGTGGGGGGGTGCACACAGAGGGTGGGACCCAAATGTAAAATGGGAAAATTTACACAGCAGGTATTGCCATTGGCATTGAAATGTACTAAGATGTTACGGGGTGAGTGTGTGTGTGTGTGTGTGTGTGTATGTGACTTCTGCCCACTGACAACACCTAGAGACAATGACCACTCAGTCATGGGCACCCTTGGCAGACAGACTATGGTCTCTAAATACCCTTCCTATGACCAGGACCCAGGGTTCTGTAGAGAACGGCTGATCCGAGGTGGAGTCAGAAGAAGAGGATGATTCAGGGACAAATGGGTGTGTGTTCCAAGGACCCAGGGTCCCCACTCCGTGCCCATCTGGGTGGTGTGGCTCCTCTATCATCCTTCAGAACAAAGGAACATTTAAAAACAAGCTTCCTTTGTCTTAAAGCATAAAACCTGACGCTCTCGGTGAGGCACGTCAACGCCTCTGTCCTCCCCTGAGCAATGCGTGGTGTGCCGTCTCCTGTGGGGCCAGGCCAGGGAGGCCCGCGAGTCTGCACCTCACGTAAGTCCCCCGGAGACCTCCTGAGTGGGCACCCCAGGAGGAGGCCATCTGACTTTCACATGGGCTGTGGGGGACCATCCAGGGGGAGGTGGACAGTGGGCTGGAGGCAGAGCCGCACAGTGCCTGCTGTGGGCCCCTCTCCCAGCGTGGCAGCAGGGACACAGGATTGTGAGTGGGTTATGGTGATGCGGCGACCTGCAGGCCAGGAGGAAGGCAGCCACATGTCCGTCCATGGCTCCAACGAGCAGGCAGAGCTCTGAAGGAAACGTTGTGAATTGTCAATGCTGACTTCTTCATTTCTATGACACAAGCGCAGTTTCTGTGTCCTCCTGTGGTGGCCGTGTGTATGGCTGTGGGTGCAGATGCTACATATTCATACTTCCCTTTTCGACTTTGTCTTATCTGACGGTGAGATTCCAGAGTGAACGAATTCTCCGCCGCACGGAAGGAAGCAGGCTGCTCCGCGCTTCCTCCTTGAAGGAGTGCTAACCGCCGCCACATGCCTGGGGCTCTCCTGCTCACGCTGTGCTTCCAGGCACACTTCCTGGCACACTTGCTGTGCCAAGCAGGTGCCGAGGGAAATCTGGGATATGGCTGGATAGACTTGTAACCCAAGAAAATGCCACCGGGAAGCCCTGGAGGCCTGCTTTGCGGGGTGTGCTCCCAGCCAGCGGAGGGAGAGTCGGGGGCTGCCTCTGCAGATGAAAGGGGCCAGCCGTCTGGGTCTCTACCCTGTGGGCTCCAGCAGGCAGAGCCTGGTCCCCTACTCTGAGTGCTGTTCAGTGTCTGTCCCTTGCCTCTCCTTGGTGGCTGGGCTGGCTTGGCACCTGCCCCAAGTGCTTTTGGCAGATGCGAGTCTGGAGAAGCTGGGCTCTGGGCAATCAGGTCGCCTCATCGGAGGGCAGGAGCCAGCACTGAACGTGAGCACGTGGCCCTGTGACCACAGCAGAACCTCTGTGAAGAGGGGGACTGTCCCCTGTGCGTGCAGTATCTCGGGGAGCCCTGCTTGGCATTGTGCACACACAGCTTCTGCCCACCTGCCTCCAGGACTTGGCCAGCAGGTATCAAGCTTGATGTCAGAGGTATCAAGCCCCGGCTGAGCAGGAGCCTCTGCAGCCCCTGGTGACCTCTGTGTGCTGCCAGTGTCCCGTGGAACCCAGACATGCATTTCTGCAGCCTGGGACACCTGCACTCCCCTCTGCGCTACTCTGGGGATCACGGAAGATGGGGCATTCCCGGACAGTGGCCTGCTCGAGCCACGGGGCTCAGACTGTGCACACACATGAATGTGTGTACCTCGGAGCAGCTGCACCTCCCTTCTGCCTGGGGTCCAGGACGGGTGAGAAGGTGGGGCCCAGGAAGACCTACCAACGAAGCCACAGACATTGCGATTGGACACAGTCTTCTCAAGGACACCTGCTACATGTGCCCAAAAGAAGAGCAGAGGCTGTGAGCTGCTGGACTCTGAGCCGGGCCTTCTGAGGGCTCTGAGCTCTTGGGGAGGCTCTCAGCCTCTTTTGCCCCAGGGTAAAAATTGCAAAAAAAAAAATCACTCTTTTCAGAGCTGAGCCCTAACAGGCCTCTCTGAATGGAGACGATCCTGCCGAGGGCTGACGTCCTTCCTGCTCCTCCCGTGGTTCCCCCGGACTGCGTCCCCAGGCTGGACCCATGAGAACACGGTAGAGACAGTGTCCCCTCAAAAGGCCACGGCAGAAGGAGGACTAAGGAGCCAGAAACTCTGGAGGGGCAGTGTCCAGGGGAAAACATGAGATGGCGACCTGGGTGTCCCCAGGGCAGACTGACTTTAGACAGAGTGAAAATCGACTTGTAAGAGAGTCATAAGGTTTTTTAAAAAAGACATTTAAAAGCAAAATGTGCTTTAAGGAACACAGCTTGGAGACGCCCCCACGAGTTAATGGAGAGGCCGTGTGGGCGAGCACGTGCACATAAAAACAGGGGAGAGGGACGGCCGATGTGGTGACATCACATGCTCCCGAGCAAGCTGAAGAACCGTGCTGGCCCCGGGGCAGGGTGTGACAGCCCTGGACACAGGCCAACGCAGGGACAGAGCCAGGCTTCTGTGCCCTTCCCCGGCTGGGACCAGGGAGGCTCCACTTCACCCCAGTCCTCTAGCTCAGGGGGCAGAGCAAGGAGGGTGACAGCAGAGCTCCCCTGCAGACCTTAAGGAGGACACAGGCGACAGGTGCTTCTGGGACCTCCAGGAGGTGGGTGGGGTTTGTGAAGAGGGTCGAGGCTGACCCCCCACCCCATGCAAACAACGAGACACAGGGTTCACCTGCCCACCCAGCAGGGGCTCTTGCTGGAACCCCCTGCCCACCATCATCAGGTCTAAGGACACTCCTGGAAACACGCAGGACAGAGGGACGTTCAATGACAGCACAGGTGCAGTGGGCTGCTGCAGACTGCAGAGGATTCTGGGAGGCCGGTGGCCCCGTGCCCTCAGGACAAACGTGCAAGTGGGAGAACTGTTGGCCGCCCACTGGGGCTGACATGTCCTGCAGGTCGGCTTGTCCACAACACCCTTCTTCCTCACGCTCTGGAGGCCGGAAGGCCCAGACCCGGGGCCACGGTGCAGGCCCTTCCTGGCTCCAGACGCTGCCCTCTCACCAGCTCGCTGATCTCTCCTCACGAGGGCACGAATCTCATCACAGGGCCACCCTCAGGCCCTCATCTACCCTGATCACCTCCTCACATCCCTCCCACCGTCCCACTGGGCATCTGTTGAATCTGGGGGACACAGATATGTTGCCCGTAACAACTGCGTGGAAGAAGCCCTCAAAGCCCACCAGCGAGCAGCCAGCATCCTCATCAGACACACTGCCCCAGAGACTTCCAGAAGGAACAGGGAAGCTGACTTCCCTGTGGTGACGCGCGGGGACTGGCAGTGACCACAGCATAACAAGGTGGCTCCTTTAAACCACAAGAGAGAAATACCCAGCAGCGTTTCCCAGCAGACAGATGGGAAGCTGGGATTTGCCCTTGGTGCCCCAAGGTGGGGGGCGGGGTGGGAGGGGGGAGGTGAAAACCGAGTGCCACTGGCCGGCCACCTGGGGGCGATTTCCTCATCCCGGCCCAGGTACACGGTGGGCTCAGCAAGCCAGGCTTCCTCTTTCAATGTTTAAAACATTTCATAAGTTTTTAAAATTACATTTTAAAATGAATAAATATTGACCTTAAATGAGTGGATTTATCCCTTTATTCTAGTTTTCCATCTTCTGCCCAGAACCCAGACACAGTCCCGGCTGCACCCATCCTGTGCCCGGCCAGCTCTGAGCATCTGGGCCAGGCCCCCACCCTGAGAGGCCAGAGGCCCCTTTCCTCCCCAGCAGCTCTGACTCAAGCCACCTGAGCTCACATCCAACAGCTGACAGCTCTGTGACCTTGAGCGGTGATGTCATCCTGTGCTCCAACGGCCCTATCAGCACAAGGGCAATGCCCGGGCACGCAGGCCGCTGTCGTCAGCTAAGGATGTGAGGCGCCAGGAAGAGCCACACGGGCCCACGAATGACCACCGTGTCCTAGCAGAGCCCGTGTGGGAGGTCCTCATGTGTACGTGAGTGGACCAGCATCCTCATTCAGACACACCGCCACAGAGACTTCCAGAAACAACAGGGAAGCTGACTTCTCTGGGGTGACGCACGGGGACTGGCACACCAAGGTCAGCCTCCCTCCCCCACTGTCCCCACCTGGGCCTGCCAGCCACAGGCAGCTCCCTCCGCATGGTATAGCCAGGGGCAGGGCGGGACCCACAAGGTTTAGGCTAATGGCAGGTAGTGGTCAGAATTTAGACGAGACTCTCGGACTCCTGGGATCCCATCCTGCTCCCACCTCCAGACTCCCCCTCCACACCCCTCTGCCAGGTCCTGCCCCACCAGGGTGAGGGCCCTGTTCTAAGGGGCTGCGCGGCTGTTCCTACGAGGCCTGCGCACGGGTATGAGGGGTCCTTGCTGGAGGTGCAGCCGGCAGTCGGAGCTGTTGGAGGCAGAGCTGCCTGCTGGCCTGGGACGGGCACAGGGACCTCTTCACCAGGGCTCTGAGGAGACGCACGCCCTGGGGCTGCAGAGTGGGACCTGGACATGCCGTGTGGGCGTGCGTGGGCTGATCCCGTGCACAGGCTTGCACACATGTCTGTGCACACAAAGGAAGGGAGGAGGATGAGGAAGGGTCTTCCCTCAGCCCTCCCCAGAAACCCACACCCGGTATGTATGGGAAGAGGTGTCCTGACCGTGGAAGAAAGGAAGGAAGTTGGCTCCCTGCCCACAGGGAGGGAGGCAGGTACATGAGGTTGGATGTGACCACTATGGAGACAGGCAGCACCCTGCCTCCACAAGGCATCTCACCCTCCACCCACCCTGGTCACTGCGAGCAAACATGGCTGAGCGAGGCCAGGTGGGAGGCGACGCTGATTAATTCTGGACACTGCAGCGTGGTGGGTTAATGTATGCCAGGCGAGGGGGGGGGGCCAAGGCTCGCCAACCAAGGTCAGCAGATTAGTATATTGATCAAAGAGCTGCCTTTTACCTCCCTCCTCTCAAAGAGCCTTCTGGTCCTTTGCCCTGAAGCTGGCCAGGGCCTCTGGGGAATGAGAGGTCCACCCTGCGGGCTACCCTGCCTGCTGGCCCCTGGCCCTGGCCTTGTTCTGACCTGCTGTGTAGCACAGAGCCCCAGGGGCGAGTTGCTCCCCTTCTCTGCAGGATGGAGCCTCCACACCTCCTCCCCGGGGTTCCCAGCACTGTGTCCTCCAGGGCCATGCTGTCTGGACACCAGCCAGTGGCCACTCCATGCTATTGGCCAGAGCTTCATCTGGAGGAGCCACAGCACTGTCCACGGTGCCCTCTAGCTGGTCCCCTGCTCATGCAGTTCACTCATTATTCATTCACTGTGCTCAGCGGACAGGACAGGACTGGGGAATGAGGTTGGCCGGAAGCTGAGCACAGGAGAGGCTGGGCTCTGCCTCAGACGGGTCAGTCTCCCCCTGGCCACTAGCACGGAAAAACTCCCTCAGGCTCTCTGTCCGAGGTCTCCTTCCCCTAGATGGGGTGACCTCATTTTAGGGAAGAAATAGTCAATGAGATAATGTGCAAGTGCCCTGGATAGCTCTGATCAATTGTGACCCAGCAATCTCACGTCTGGGTACGAACCTGGGAGAACTGGCATGCCCAGCCGCGCTCACAGGGCCTCATTCACAAAGCCAAGATGGAGAAGCGGCTCGTGCGTGGGCGGAGACTGGACGGCTGGCAACAGGGTGTGGTCCCTGCACCGTGGGCCGCTCCTCGGGCTGAGGCAGGAAGGGCCGCCACTCAGGCGGGCCTGGAAGACACGCGGTGAATGAAGTAAGTCACTCACAAAAGAGCACACATTTGTGTGAGGTGCCGTCATGGAGTCCACAGCGACAGGATGTAGGTGGCCGTCGCGGCTGGATGGGGAGTGGAAGCCAGTGTTGAGGGAGGGGCCAGGGCTGCTGTGTGGGAGGAGGTGGCAGTTGGAGACGGATGGTGGTGATGGCCACACAGTGATGTGAGGTCCTCAGAGCTGCTGGATGGGCACTTGGGCACGGTGGGGGGTAAATGTTTTACAATGAAAGGGGCCACAGCACAGGGCCTGGAGAGGCAGGTGCTTGGTGGGTGTCCTTCCAGCCTGGGCAGCTCTTACCAGACGAGGACCTGGGGCTTGTGCCCAGAGAAACCCTCAGGACACCAAACAGGATGCCAATCCCAGGTGGGGGCAGCTGGGAGGGGCAGGGTGGGGCACTAAGTCAGGTGGCATCTGGGTGACCTTGGAAAGTTACCTCCTTCCTGGCCTCAGCCTCTTCTGCAAACGGGGACAATAGGGACAAGTGCTATGAGATCTGAGCACACAGGACACACTGTTAGCCACCTCTGATGGGTGACCTCGGTGCCAGGAAGACTGAGAGAGCTGGGGTGCATGCTGGGGTGCCATGGGAAAACACTGAGAAGTCAATTCCTGCTTATTGTTGCTGAACAAAGATGCTGATGGGCTGTGACCCAATTCCAGGTAGCCTGTCCTTCCTCCCCAGGGCCTGGCTCGCTCTGGCTCAGATTTCACTGTGACCAACGGCACGCCCACACTGATGTCCTCAGCAGACACTCTGTGCCAGGCTCCACACCCCAGAGCCCAAGGGGCTGCCTGGGCAGCTCGGCAGGGCACCTGGTCTCCCTCCGGTCCCCTGGCTCAGCCCTGCTGTCTTCATACTCGCAGAGGGCTGCGCGGGAGTCCTCCAGCTCTAGAGCTGCACAACCTCCCGGGCTGCAGCGCTGAGCCTTCTGAGTGGTCCTGTAGCCAGCGCTCCACTCTGCACAGGGGACAGATGCAGGCTTGGGAGCTTCCCGGAGAGCTGGGAATGGACGCCAGAGATGAAGAGCCTGGTCCAGACTCCGGAGGACTGGAGGGCCCTGTGCAGGGCAGGGATCCCCTGCAAACCAAATGGTGGGGTGCAGAGGGTCCCCACTGGACTGCACCTGGCTGTCCAGTGAATGCTGAGATGTGGAGTGTGAGGCAGGACAGGAAGAAGTCACGGGGACCCCGCCTGGCTGCAGAGACAACACAGCTCCACAGGCTCAGGAAGGCTCCTCCAACAGGTGGCTGGAGGAGGGACCTCAGGACTGGGAGAGTTGGGTGGGGGCATCTGGTAGCCCGGGGGACCTTCCCAGGAGGGACCAGGTGAGGCTGAGGTTGCTCTGTGAGCTCAGGGCACGGAGCTCAGAGTCTAGCAGTGCAGCCTCACGGCAGGCCTGTCTCTGCCCGCCCTCCTTTCCCTCCGGGGCCAGGCCTGTGCCGCAGGAGCTGGCCCTGCAGTGGGGGAGCGGAAGGAGAGCTTCCCGTGCACCTGGCCCTGCCTGGGGAGGCTCTCTAGAGCTGAACTGGGATTTGAACATCCCTCAAGGTGTCAGCATGGCTTTGAGGCAGGACAGCATGGGCAAGGCCACTCTCTCCAGCCACAGGAAGCCCCACCACCTACCTGGCCCCTCCTTGTGGGTATTGGGCTGTGTCCACTTCTTTCATTGCAAAGAAATGTGAGGGACGCTGTGCTCCAAGATGTGTGAGCACACTGGCCGACTCCCGAGCAGAGCCCCAGAAGCAGGCTTGCTGGCTGACAGGGCCCTTAGGATTCTTTCTATCAAGGGCACAGTCAGGCTCTGCCTTGGCTTCCTGGAGGTGTGTCTGCAGAAGAAGGATATTCTGGGCCAGAAGAGCCTTGTTTTCCCTTATCAAGGTGGTCCCCAAAGGGTAGTGGCCCCCATAAGTGGCCTTGGTGAGGTGGTCAGGTGGTGTGCAGACCCAGCACCCCCATGGTGCCCTGACCCTGCAGTCGGCCTCAGCATCTGGCTGCTTGCTCTGCTCTGTGAGGCCGAGGAGGGTGAATGAGGCCGCCAGGCCGCATGTCCACAGGGCCAGTGGCCATGACCCTTGGCACGTTCTGGTTGTTTTATCTCATGTCACTTGAGCACAAAGTCAAGCCATAGCCTGTTCCACGTGTCCCATGGGAAACAGTGCCTGGCCTAGTGTCTGGGGGTGTCATTAAACAATGTGAGCCGTTTCTGGGCCAAGCGGGGGGGTGGTCATGCAGGGGCCAGGGAGGCTGGACAGTTCTCCCTGTAGAGTCATCCCTTGGTCTCCCCTACAGGTGTCCCTCTGCCTCCCCTGCCTACCAGAAGCCCCCCAGCCCTCAGTTTCTGGGCTCACCAGGTTTGCCTTCCTGGACAGAATGGAGGTCTCCTGCTTCCTGCCTCTCTCGTCTCAGACTTATCCAAGCGTACCGACTCTGGAACCTTTCCCCATCTGTACTAAGTGGCCAATGGTAGGGGCAGTCCATATTGCTGTCACAAAAGCCAGCCTTTGCCCAAATAGCTCTCCATGCAGCCAGCCCACGCCCCCCACAAGGGACCCGCTCACCAGGAACAGAGGTGACCTGCCCCCAAAAGGGAGAGTCAGGAGGAGGGGTCGGGGGTGTGCTCACCTTTCACAGGTAAAGCCAAACCATGTGTCAAAACTCAGAGGCGGCTCTGCCCCTGATGACGGAGCAGTGGGATCTAGGCAGGTGTGGATCTGGCCCAGGCGGGCACATTCATCTTTGGGGTGGCAGTGGCAATGCAGAGCTTCCCCTATCCGTGCTGGCACATGGCACTCAATGTGGGACCCTTCTGGAGACAGGTTTGCACCAGGTGTGGCTGACGGGTGGGATTTCAGGCCTTGCCACAGGTCTAGAGAGAAGAGAGATTTTTTTCTTGGAAAAGACTTTGCAGCGCCTTTCAAAGCACAGCCGGCTCCACCTGCCAAACTGTCTGCCATGGGCAAAGCTGCTCCCGGCTGACCTATCCCCAGGGACAGCACCATGGGAAACATCTCATTGCTGCTGCCCCGGGCTCCAGCAGGGAGGACCAGGCGGCTCCAGAAAAGATCACATTCAAAAATAGTCTTGTTTGTTCAGATCCTGTCGAGGCGAGAGGGTGCAGGGCCAGGGCTGACGGATGCCTACGCCCTCCTTCCACACGCACAGGAGGACCTTGGGACCTGTGAGGAATAGCAGAGATTGTTGGAACAGGCAGAGGGAGGACATGAGGCCATCACTGTGAACCTCCAGCCAGGACTCACTGAATCCTGCCCAGCTCACCAGGGTGGGAGCATCCAGAGAGCCTCAGGAGGAGGCCAAGCCTGGGGCCAGGGGCCGCCCAGTCCCTTCAGCTGCCCTGGATGGACTTAGCCTGCCAGCTGACCATGTGGCCACAGCTCATGACTGAGGGACACTTGCTGACCACTGACCCAGAGTTCACCAAGCTCCCTGCTCTGGTCTTCGACCCTGAGAGGTGGGCCCTGCTCCCCACAGTAGGACCTCAGGGCCGTGGGGGTAACCACAGCAGCAGCCCTGGTGACTGGACCTCTCCCAGGGGCCCCAGGTCAGGGACAGGTCCTGTTCTCTGGAGAGAAGTAGCCCTGCTCAGCCGGGCCTTGGGGGTAGGGAGTTCTCTGTGCACCTTGAGGGCACAGGCCATTTGGAAGCCCTCTGTGTGGGATGAGGCCCCTCTTCCCCTCACATGGGGGTCCACCATTTGTTTGCAATGGGGTGCGCCTGTGGGTTTCATTCTGCACTTTGGGTTCAGATCTGGCCTGCGCTGTGGTGAGGCTCGAATCTGGCCAGCATGGGCCACTGGGAGCTCTTCCACCAGCTCCAGTGCCCTGGGACGTCTCACATCATTGTGGGGTGTTGTGGGTTTTTATTTTTAGCACCTCAGCACTGTAGGGTGTTAAACACCAAGACCTTGCGCCAGGGGCACTTGTGGTGACGGGGTGCTGCTGCTGCTAGGCCGTCCCAGCTGACAGAGAGGAGAGACAGTGCCAGCGAGTGCTGACCTGCACCCACACGCAGGTCGTCTCCACGAGGACCCGGTGTCTGTATTAAGCCGCCCCATGCTCCAGTCCCTGATGCTCATCCGCACCTCCGTGGTCCCTGAAGGTTTGCACTCAGGAGCCGGAAGGCACAGGAGCCCCCGGGGGCGTCCCTGCCGAGGGGGAGCAGGAGGGCCTGGCCCCTCCCTCCCTGTGTGCAGATGGTCCTGCTCTCCACCGTCCACCGCGCATACTCTGGCTTTCTGTTGGTGCAGTGTTAGTAGGGACTGTTCTTAGAATTTTGAACTTTGGACTTTTCCCAGACGGGTGACATGGGTACCGTCCTCCCTCACCACACTGGGGGCAGCAGCTCCTGGCCAGCAAGAGGGGAGCCACCACCCTCTATAGAGCACAGGGTCTCTGAGCCATGATGCCCTCTGTTTTCGTTCCTCACTGTTGCCTCCCCTCAATCTCACTCAGGTGGACTCACACGGCCGGTGGCTGTGGAGCCTCAGAGCACGGAGCGCGTGCATGCCCACTTGGCAGGGGCCACGGCTTGCCCCTTTGTCTTCAGAGCGCCTTTTGACCACATACACGCACCCGAGTTGGTCTATCCACGCACCCTAGATCGGGTGGCAGTTTCCAGTTTGAGGTGTTCGTGAATAAAATTGCCACAATAATTTGCAAATAGTTTTCGTGAGCACACAAGCTTTCAGTTCAATTAGGTGGCCGTCAAAGAACGTTGCTGGGTCACGTGACACCAGCAAGCTGAACTTCTGGAAAAACTGCCGGCCTGTCTTCCGAGGTGGCACAGTCGCCCCTGTCGTAACCCAGGCTGTTGGGCGGGGACGGGTGGTCTCTTTCTCTCTTTCTAATGAACATGAGATGGGGCCCGTCGGGGCTTCAGCCTCCGTTTCCCTAGGAGCTTGTGACACGGAGCGTCTTTCAGGTGCTCATCTGCCATCTATGTGTCTTCTTTGGTAAAATG